TCAACTTAAAACCTGGGAGAACAACAGATTCTGTCCATGCAAAGTTTGAACACCTGTACTAAGGTATTGTCCACTTGTTATAAGATCACCCAGGGATGACAATGCAAGGTGTGAACACAATCTTAGACTGTTCAAACATCATTTGTCAATACTACTCAACCACCAACCAGACAGCAGAACACTTCATATATCCAAATGGTCATGCATGTACAGACTCTGCATTAATATACAGATATCTGTTATTAATAGAGGTTACTGCAAAAGGGAAAAGAGGCGGAGCAACAGTTGAAGTACACCTGATCTCTATTAAAGACGATAAAGACATGATATAGAGGGTGCAGCCAGGGGTCTCAGTGTCGAGAACATTTGTGTTTAAAACTGTTTTGTGTGACCAGGAGGTAAAATAAATAAAATATTAGAAGAGTGGAGTACATGAGAACTAAACTGTCTGCTCTGCTGAGTTGTTTCCTGTCCGTGATGCGGCGACAGCAGAGTGTGAATGGAATCTGCTGAGAAATGAGGTGTGAGCAAAAACTGTGATGGGTAGATAATAAAGAGAGAGACAGCATTTTCAAACTTTTCAAACTGATGTTGCAGTTTGGTTATTAACAATATATTATTAATAATAATAATCATGATTATTAAAAATGAATATCTAGAAACAAATGTATCAATTACTTTTGGGGCACCACCTCGTAATCAGCGACCAATAACAAAAAGGAGTCGAAATCAGTCTCAACAATATGTATTAAATAAGAAGGAAACTTTTGCTTCAGCCACAAATGGAGGTCGGTGCTCTCAGAGAAGGATCTTAGACGTCCAAAAAACATTATTCAGTCGACTCCATCTCTTGAACAGCATCCAAAGAAACTACTGGAGCAATGTGTCTTCCTCAATGTCGACTCAACGTCAAACATTTTTCCTTTGCATCTAAATAAATTTGCCTCAAGTGATTTGTGCGCTCCAATCCATCCATCCATTATCTGTACCACTTTTCCCGTTAGGGGTTGCAGGGGGCTGGAGCCAATCCCATCTGTCATTGAGCGAGAGGTGGGGTACACCTTGGACTGGTCAACAGTCAATCACAGGGCTGACATATAGAGACAGACAACCAGCCACTCTCACATTCACACCTACATGCAATTTAGAGTCACCAGTTAACCTGACGAGCATTTCTTTGGACTGTGGGAGGAAGCCGGAGTACCCGGGGTCCCAGGCCGGCCACACGAGTCAGAAAAGTCTGGACACGCCCCTATATATGAAGCCCGTTGTCAACAACATACCTGTCTGTCAGTCTACTAGTCCGGCTTGCAGGTCGTGGACCAGTCAGTGTTTTAAGTCAGGTTGGCTGTTTGTCTGGAGTAGTGCTGTCATTTAAAAAAAATCAACTTTGAACAAACTTAGAATATAACACGGTAACGTTGGATCACAGCGCACAACGTTCTTTCTCCCAGGATGCCGCTGTGCTGACGTCAGCGTAACCTCGCCTGCTCGTTGTCGGCTGTTTCACATAAAGTAACAAGTTCTTTTAACTGTCAGTAACTGTAACGGCGTTATTGAATCTGGAAAGTAACTCGTTCGTTAGTAGTTACCGCCAGTGTTAATCTTCACACCATTTTTTAATTTAGTCATAGTCTCCTGACAAAAATGTCCTTTATATTCAGTCAGATATTAGTCATTTGTTATTGATTTAATTTAGTCAATTAGTCACTGACTAAAATTGCACATCATTTTAGTTGATGAAAATAGAAGATATTTTAGTCAACAAAATCAGACGCTAGCTTTTATTTTTATTATCAGAAGCTGCAGGGGGCGGGCTTCACAGAGTATGCTATGGTTTACAATGATTTTAGAACAGCTGAGGGGGTACGGGATAATCGTCACTTGTAATGTAGTTTTTGTTTCATCACATTTTCGTCAATTCGATGATAAAGTAATATTATTTATCAAATCGTCAAATAGCGGAGTTTTGGCTCGTCATCGTCATAGTTGACTAATTTAAAAAGACCTTTGTCAATGAATATTTTCGTCATTTATATTGTTAACGAGATTAACACTGGTTACCGCAAATATTAGTTTCTTTACAGTAAAGTTTTTTTGTGTACTTTGTACCTGAAGTGTACCAAAAGAGCCAAAACAATGAGCTGAAAGGCATAAAATGGTCTGCAGAGCTGATAGAAGGTGTGCATCTGCTGATAATTCTCTATTGCTTCTATCAGTACAGGAATATTTTTACATTAGTGCTGCTATAATCTTTCTCAATCACCTTTAAAATCCTGCTCAGAAAAAAAGACCTCATATGTGATATATTTATGTTGTATTTCCTGTCACAGAGTAAACAGCCTCTAAATACACGAATGCACACAAACACATGCTAACGTTCAGTTTGGAGGACTGCAGATCATTCATACAAAACCCATCACAACACAACTCTTCCAGCTCAGTTAGAGCATGATCTCTGAAGTTTATAAAGGAAGGTTATAAGCGTTCAAACACAGTCTGCTGAACTTCCTGTAAGCACTTAGAATTACAGGAAGAGAAGCACATTTCTGATGTCGTAACTCGTCACCGATGAAAACTTTTGTATTTAACTTAAAATGACATCTCCTCTGACTTTCTGAAGTCTGCTCTTTGCCTTGAAGTATAAATGTGGAAGTAAGTTACCTGGCACAGAGAGAAGGAAGACGATAAATCCACTCGCTGCTGCTGTTAAACTCATAGCTGCTCCTCTCGTCTCTGTTAAATCAACAGGTTCATCACATCCATGAGACACACTGGTGTGAGGTCGTCACTATAAAAATGGCTTCTTCTTAAAATGAGGATGTGGTCTTTCAAGACGCATTTTTAAATATGTGGTGAGTGAACTTGTGTTGAACAGATGAAGAGCCACGCCGGCTTTCTTCCTCTTTTTATAATTATTATGCATGAGCACACAACATACAGTAAACGCCTGAGATGAAATGAAGAAATGATTCTCACTGTTTTTATGCAAATGATGCAGTAGCTTCTTAAAATTCTGTTTTTGGAAATGGCAGGGAGTCTCTCTTGTGGACTTGGTAAAGTCTCTTTCAGGGAAATAAAACCTCAAAATGAATCTAGAAGTCAGATCCAATCTAGGTCAACAATGGGTCATAAATGAAGACATAATGCATCATATGTGATCTGCACTTCATGTTTAAGGACTCTGGAATAAGTAGAACTGCATATATGATGTCCGACTCCCAGTTCCTCAGAAAGCTGAGACAGGCTCACCTCCCTCAACCCTGCTGATAAACTGAAGCCTCTGCTGCACTGTGTAGTTCAGCATCTGCACAGCAGACGACAGGAAGACCTACAGCTGGTGGTGAGGGCGCAGAGCGTGTGATCGAGGCTAAACTACCAGCCTTCAGTGACGTATAAACCAGCCGGCTCCAAGGGTAGAAGACCCCCCACCCTGGACAATGTCTTTCTCACACCTCCCTCTGAAAGGAGATACAGGACAATCAAAACAAACAAGACTGAGAAACAGTTTCTTTCCACAGAGAGTAAAATGAGAAAAAAAAAAAGAGTCAAACATGTCTCTTCCTGTTTTTACAGACATTGATCGTTTTGTGTGTGCTCATTCTGCAGAGAGCACAGAGAAGACTCTTCTCAACGTTTCCCTGCATCACGGATTCTTTGCATCATGTCACTTTAGATGTGCACACACTGTTGCACAGACGACGACAACAACAACAACAACAACAACAACAAAGCATTGCAAACACACAACCTCTATGGTGTCATTTCACACAGCTGAGAATATCAGTGCTTTATTTCAAAGTGTTTTAAATGAAATGTTTGTTGTTGTATTCAGTCAGTGAACTCAAACAGGGAATCACACAACTCAGACAAAAAGGGCGCAGACGGATAGTGAGCAAAAGAGGAAGTTCAAAGAGATTACAGAAAAGAAATTCAGCCATGTCAACACTCCTGTGAGGCACAGGCTCACTGTGTGTTACATGTTGTGGTACATGTGAGATAAAAGTAACAAACAGTTAAGAATCAAACATACAGTGTGATCCACACACTGATGGATTATGAGAATACAATAGAGTTGTAGATTATGTTTTACGGACTCTGATGACAAAACAAAACTACACAAAGATCTAGTTAGCAATAATATCTACACAAAGACTATTTGAAGAGTCACACGATAAATATAAATTATATATTTAATATAAAAAGGTACATGAATACTTGCAAAGACTTTATTTATCAGTCCAAGAGCGTCTTTGTCGACGGTATTCAGAGGAGCTGTTTGTCAACATGCAAGGCAGGCAGCTGATTGGGCCCCCAGGCCAGTAGGGGTCCCCAAGGCTGACAAAAAACACGCAGTGGCTCAAAATGTGCAAATTTTGCAATGACAGTAGGATACCTCCCTAAAGGGGGCCCCATCAGAAAGCACTCCCTCTCCTTTGCAAACCAACCTTTGTCAGTGGTGCACATCCCTACTTACCACCCAGTCTAAGTCATGAAATACTTCCCATGTGGTAGATTTGACAGATTGGAGGTAAAAAACGAGGCTGCTTTATGTTACATTTATCAGGCCGTTAAAATCATTACAAAGGTATAATCTTTAAGTAGCAGTTCATAAGACATGTGTTGTAAAATCAGAAGCGACCTGCATACATTCAAATATATGAAATCTAAAACAGAGTGTGAACACAGTGCCTGTCGAGGTCATCGCTTTGTTGACGGTGCTGTACAGAGCAGCTGGATCCTCTTCAGGTTCTTTACTTCTGGTTCTGAAGGGGAAAATTGATCAACATGAAGTTTAACTAAAAGAATTGAGTTACCAACACGTCCATTACAGGATTAAAGTACAAACACATCAGAGGAAGATAAGAGCGAAAACAGCTTTTATCTTATAGTGAGAGTTTAATGTTTTCTCAGCTGCTCACCTCATGGCGGTGCTGTTCCTGGTAAATTTGACGGCAGTGTACTCAGTGACGTCCTGCTGCTCCGTTCTTCTGGGGGGGCCGAGCTGGTCTGGTATTGCTGTACAGAGGCTCCTGGGTTTTAGAGAAGTGTATGCTGGCATACTGAAGGTCTTCCTGCTCCTCTGGTTGTCCCTGATTAGGTGAACAAAATCACTTTGAGCTGCATATTTACCATGTGGAGGTTTTTCATTTAAAAAGTGAATTCTAGCAGAGGACCGCAACCAAGATAGGAAAGGCCACAGCAACAGCAGGTTATGGTGATGATGTTATTAAAATACTTTGAGTGTTGGCACACAGTGTAGAAGGGGGGGATTTAACCATTTTTATTTTATGAACGCTAACAGTTAAACATAATTAGGGGCGTGGCTGAGTTGACTCCCAGGTGGGCGTGTTGTAGCCGTTTGTCAGGAGGCATAAGACCCGCCTCAGCTCCAGATTTTTGCTTGTTACTAGGTTTACTCAAAGACAGCATTTCCAATATGGCAACCACCATCAGTGAGCTTCAACATTTCACTTCAGAAACCAATGGGTGACATCACTGAGACGACGTCCATGTTTTAGTACAGGAAGAAAATTCAAAGACAGCCTCAGGAATTTGTTTCTATCGGACAAATATGAAATGTTCTTTCTCGTCAGCAAGTATAAATAATAAATTTACTCAAAGACAGCAAGATAAAAGACATGTCACCAATCAGTAACTTTGGACATGTACAACATTTTAAATCTAAATAACTACATAATTTACTTTGCCCTTTTAAATAATTCATGTATGGTATGCATTGTATTTATTTTTAACAAATTCCCCTTCCAGGCAGTGGGTGGGCTGTGTTAGCGCTCTCTAATGACCAGCAGCTACTGTTCATGATGTCTGCAGAAACTAACGCAATGATTGTGTACTTGTAGGATGATGGATGATCAGCTCTGAGCAGTCGGCTGAGTGAAATATTTGCTTGGTCAGATTATTGGACGGACCATATCGAGCACATTTACTCTTCTGGATGAACGACCTCTGAGTAACACAGCAGTCTGAATGAATCAGCGTTTATTTAGTACTAAGATATTAATCAGAACTATTCTCACCTGCTCCGTGTGTTCTTGTCTCTCTTCAGCCTCAGACGGTTCATTGGAAGCCCTCTTTTGTCTTGTGAGAAGAATTTAAAAGTATGATGAATTATGTTTTTTAGATATGACTGACTTTTAATGATTCAGTGAAACGAAGCAGCTCACCTGATCCACACGAGGACAGAGAGGAACACGATAACCAGAGAACAACCGTGATTGTTCCAGCAACAGCCACTGATTTCCCTCCCCCTGGGAAATGGTGACCAAAACAAAGCGTTCAGATATATTTATCATCAGTCTGTCCTAAGCAGAAACCTCCACTTGAAAAATGAAGCAGATGTTGAAGGGTAAAATCCTGAGTTCTTCGAGTGTCCACTAGAGGCTGGCTGCAGAAGCACAGGAAGTCACATACACACCATTCAAAGAAGACATTTTTACAGCAGAGATGAACATGTTTACAGCCTGGTTCAAAAAACAAATATGTCTTTTTAGCTCATGTCTCAATCAGCACACACTGTACTGGGGGTGAAGGCATAGCTGATCTGATTGACAAGCAGGTGCCATATAAGGGTTTCTCAAGAGGTTTAAAACCTCAGCTCCAGCTCTCAGCCTGTTATGTTGACTGAAAGTTAGGGTGAGACAGCATTTCCAGCATGGAGACCGCCATCGATAGGACTCCAGCGCCCCCACAGGAACTGATTTATTACAGTTTTAGTCGTACTAACACAATTTATCGACTATCTCTAACAGCATGTGAACATACTGAATGTGTCCTGAACCTATCCAAGTAGTTTTGATGGGTTGATCAAACCAAGTGCGTGATTAACAGGTTGAAACGGTCAGTTTAGGTAGGTTGAGTCTGAATGATGACAAATGTGACGTTAAGTCGGCAAGTTGGGTTTCTGAATTGTTGTTCCGACTTGAGCAGACGTTCATCTGTATTTTCCAATTGGAAGCTAATTCTTCCGATGTGTCCGACACCACATAAATGCAGAGCAGGAATGTGGAAAGTTCAGCGAAACATTTGAGTGGCTAAAAAATGGAAAAGTGGGGATGTTGGGTTTTAGGTCGGTAGATACACTTTTTAAATAATAGGTGTTTTACTCACATTTGACATTTATAGAGATGTGTTTGGATGTCTTCTCCCAGCGTGTTCTCAGCTTCAGCAGTAATACTCTCCAGAGGCCGAGGAGTTGACTGAACTAAGGACAGCTGTGCTCCTGCATTTGAGGGATTAAGGTTTAGAGGTCCATTCTCTTGACCAGGTATAATTAGCTGCTGGGTTAGCATCACTGCTGCAGTTCAGAGTCACTGAACTGCCCTCCACTATCTCAGCAGAGGGACTCACTGACACAGAGGGAAACTGTGGAGCATCTGGAGGAATAAAAGTCTTTTAAAAAACAGTATGAACATTCAGGCCAAGTTCTAGACTACTTTGAATGGTATAGTTTTACATTTTCATATAAAACTATACGGTAATTTGCTCATTACAAATGCCAATAATATTTCATTATTAACTTATCTTTCATGGAATCGTACAATTTGTTTTGCTCAATGTCGAATGACATGTTTATGATTTTATATTCCTGACACCTTTACTTGTCACCACACCTATCTTATATTACAGTCTTCACAATATATTTTTAATAGGTTTTTTTTAATTCATTTTTTGTGTTTTTGTGTTTTATCTGTCGGTTTTTGTGTTTTGTGCCTTTTTTTAAAATATATTTCTGTGACTCAAAATATGTTCTTTACATGATCAGGCTTATGTTTCTTTGTGCAACAATGCTAATCAATCCATCCATATCCAGTCCAGTTGTGATAGCCTTTTCATGAGCCAGAATCACCAAGTTTCTCTTTCTCTCATGTAACATTGTGCGCCGGAAGGGAAATAGGACATGGGAAAAAGTGGAGCTGACGCTAACATTAACGCTAACCTTAACGCTAACCTTAGCTATTGCTGAGTAGCTCATTAGCTAATAATACATTTAATTTGTAACACACTTTACATTTTTGCAAAAAAATCTCAAAGTGCTAAAAAAATTAATAAAATAGAATAAAAACAAATTTCATCAACTAAGCAACTAACGCTAACGCTAGCTACTGACGCTAACACCAACACATCCAGCTAGACCACGTGTTATAGTAGCTATCAAACAACCAAACTGAACGCAACTATGATATAAAATATCAATCAACAGTAGCCTATATAAAATTCCAATCTCCCAGACCGACTGGGTCTTCAGCTCAACAAGATATGATTACACGGCTACAAGGAGGCTGTGTACAGTTAAGTGACAGTCTCAATCGATCCGGAAATTGACAACCTCTCTCGCTGGTCTCCATATTTTATTTGGCCAAACCAACCAATCAAGTATTAGTAAAACATATTATTTGGGAGTGGCATTTTCTGATTTGTTGAATCGACAAGGAAAAAAAATAAAACTTTTATATCTGAAACTTGTGGTGAAAGGAGGATATTTGGCTTTTTTTTAGTGGGGCAGGCTAACCATTTGGGGGGGGGGGGCATTGCCATGTCTAGAACCGGCCTCGTGAACATTTCAATCTTTCAGAGTTTATTTCAGTGGTCTAAAACTTAAAATACTAGAAATATAGCATTTTTAAGTTTATTATTCCAGCTGTGAAGCATTAGTCCTCATGTCCTGTTAGAATCAGTATCTTTTATTTGACATTCTCTCAGTCTAAAGCTGTAGAGATGTGAACTCTATGAGTTAAAATCCTTTTGAAACAACATATCTTTGAAAGTGATAAATACTGATGATCCTCCTGCTACAGCCCTGGGGTCTCATTTATAAAAGAATGCGTAGAATCCATACTAAAAATGTACGTGCGCCAAAAACCCGGAAATGGCGTGCGCACGAAATGATTCAGATTCATAAAACCGTTCGTACGCACACTTACACGCAATGTTCCCTTTATAAATCACGATCCACCTGGAAATGTGCGCACATAGATTAGTCCCATGTTCCGCCCTCTACACGCCCACAATCAACCATAAACGGTCAATGAAAATGCATACAAACGAGGGGGCGGAGTAAAGGTTTCCAGCGCTGGATCGCGGCGAAACCCGGAAGTTTAGACAAAGAAAAGAAACTTTCTGACCCAGAAACGGAGGAGTTTGTGAATGAAGTGAAGGATAAAATGGACATATGGATAGTTTACTGCAGCAGGAGGATCACAAACTGAAGAAAAATCAGAGAGTGACACCACGTCGCTGCTGCATTCACGCTGTCCTATGTGCCAAAACATCCACCTTTCATCATTACGCACAAGTATATCTGCAATGTTTACATGTTTACAGGACCCACACTGATTTCTTCATATTGTCAGAGAGGTCACGTCAGTCAGCAGTCTGCCTCACTCTGTCACATTAGTAATCAAAAGTTTGATCAACGAACAAAAACGTTTGATTGTTGGCCACATATTTTCATGGGAAACTCGGTCTGCTCTGTGACTAATTATGAGGATATATAGACCTAATGATCGTGTCAGAGATGACCCGACTTAATGTCCACACTTGAATTATTTACAGAATAAATACATGCAGCTGATGAAGACATGCTGAGTAACGAGAAGGCGAAATGTGTGAAGCCACCGCTGTGTCTCTGTGCGTCTTAACGCAGTCATCTTTATTAAAACTAAAAACAACACTTGAAGATAAATGCTCGATATTGAAAGATATTAATGAAAACTGGAGGCTCTGTGGTTTTTGTATTAGTCTAATTTTTAACTCTACATCAGTGATTACATTAGTGTACAAGTCCGGTCCTCTGAGGTCAGTCCGGGATAATGAAGGCGAGACGGCGCTGATGCAATATGTATGAGGCGGACTTATATTTTTTATTTTTATTTTATGTTTATATATTGTCGCGATTATAGCATAAATAAAATCGTCAGTTTGAATGATTCTGATGACGTGGATCTGTCAGTAAAGTTTGATATTTAGTGAAATAAAATGTGGAAGAAACAACAATTTGTATCTGCAGGTTTCAGTTTACCACTTCGCCGTCTGTGTCACCAAATTCCCATGCCTCCAAAATGAACATACGCCTGGGTCAGAGTTTGCTTACCAGTGCGCACATTTTACCGTCAGGTTTGTTTTATAGATCACAAACTGCGTGGGAAAAGGCGTACGCCAGTTTCAGACCCCGTTTTGGGCGTACGCAACGGTTAGAAATGAGACCCCTGATCTCTAACCATCCACGGTCTCAGCAGAGAGACTCACTGACACAGAGGGAAGCTTTCATGCTTCAAAAAGAGACGTAGTTTAATAACATTAGCATTTAGTGAAAAGGTTTCTGAAGATTTGAAAGTCATTAACAGACAGGATAATCAAGGTGTGAGCAAACCCTTAAAACCCAGCCCTTAAAACTCTGGACAGGAAACCACAACAGTATCATCATTGTGATATTCTTATGAATATAAAATTCTTAGCTTTGACAATTTATTTTTTATACCGATGTCCGCTTAGTGTATGAAATAATCCATGATGCTGCTCCCCCACCTTTGAAAAGCTTTGTGAAACTTCGCTCTGAGTTGATACGCAGATCTTCAAGGTCTGCCTCTAACGGAGATTGCAGTATTACTAAACGTGGCTCTGCTTTAGCACAATCTTTTTTCTTTTAAAGCCATTAAAGAATGGAATAGTCTCCAACTACTCTTGAACTTTGCACAAACTTCTGCACTTTCAACCGGAAAGTCAAAAATTTATTTTAAGGAACCAGTCTTGTCAGCATTAATGTGTCATCTCGACAACCTTTTAGAGCTCTCAGGGAAACTTGTACATAATGTTTTAATATCTGTAAATTGATCTATGTCTTTCTTCTCTCTTATGAAATGTGTGTGTGTGTGTGTGTGTGTGTGTGTGTGTGACTGACTGGTTGATTTGTATTTTGCTGTTGCCATCATCTGCCCAGGGACAACAGACAGAAATTAGCTAGCTAGCTAAATCTGGTACAAAGCGTCTCTTCTCTTCTGAGACTAATGTTTTTTTTGTACGCTGTCCCTGATTCAAATAAACGATTAAATTAAATTAAAATGAAACTATGAAACTACAGAGAAATCAGGTCAGTAAGGAAAGTCTCCAAATGTTGAATGTTGCTGTTTGAAGTGTTTCACTCACATTTCACATCAATAGAGATCCATTTATAGGTCGGCTTTCCCAGATCGTTCTCAGCTTTACA